AGTGGACTAGATGGACTGAACAATTATTTAAAGCTTTATGTTTGGTTTTGTATGGTAAATCTGGAAGAAACAAAACTGCCAAAAGGCAAGACTTGCTTTCATGTTTCACCAATCTAATCATGTTTCTTAAAAGAGTAAGTTTAAGAATTCTATCTGAGACTCGTGATGGAAGATGACAAAAATTTGTCCCAAGAAAAAAATGTAAAACATGAAAAAAATATGGAGATTTTAGCTGATAAAAATAATGTAGACTCACGACAATGCAAAAAAGTCTACGATATTTAAAATTCACTTAAAACATGTAACTTTACAATAGGCAACACGTCAAAAACTCCTATAAAAACATATTTCACCACAGGAACAAACATCTCTTGTTTAATCAATAACATTTTCATGAGTGAACTTTCTAGCCAATAATCAAATAATGTGTTGTTTTCGCATTTTTTTTTTCAGCAAACAAACAGATTTATTGATTATGGTAAAAATTACAATCTTTGAATACAGCATTTTGACAACCACAAAGGTGGACAAGTTTTTGCAGAATAAAACAGATTATTAGGAGGACCATGTTTAGCTAAAAGATGTGCCGGAGTGTTATTCTCTCTTGAAGTATGCAATGAATATGCATTTGAGGAACAAGTGCTTTCAGTGAAGGATATCAGAACAGATGTTTGAGATTTGATAATTTTCAGATTTGCCATTCAGAACATCGATTAAGAATTTGCAGTCTCCCTCAAAAACAATATTCCTTAGTCCTGACGACCAAGTATGTTGCATAGCTGTTAGTAGAGCTTTGGCTTCTGCTTCTAAAGGTGTTGTTCCCAATCCCATGAGAGAAGCTCCCCAGAAAGAGGGTATTCCTTTGTGATCTCTTACAATCCATCCCGCCGAAAAATTATTGTTGTTCAAGTTAAAACTGACATTAAAGTTACATTTGAACATATCAAAAGGTGGGCATGTCCAAGATTTTAAGCAAGATTTGGAAGATCCAGTTAAATTAGAGTGGGAAGTTCCATGAACTGTTGCCGTGAGCCATTGTGAGACATCAATTTTCGCATCCTTGTTGACATGAAGCAGACAAACGCGTATCTTTCGAAAAATTAAGTTGCATCTTGATTTCCAAATTCGCCATAAGATCCAGAAAGGGAGCAATTTTTCGCTTTTAATATAAATTTTTAAACATGTTGTTTTAGAATTGATTTTTTATTTATTTCAAATAATGTTGTTTTCGCTTTTAATAGAAAATTTTGAGAAAATTTCAGTTTTAATTTTATTATTATAATATTTTAATAAGAGAAAAAAATTAGAAAATGGTATAATGTATTAAATGATTTATATTATCAAACATAAGAAGTATATTGTTCGGCGGCCTTCGATTAATTAAAGGAAACTAATTTGAAAATAAAATAGTCATCGAGATCTATCATAAACTAAGACACAAAGTTGATGGCAATATCGTTATTTCCAAGCTAGATACAAATGCTTCATGCTTGTATCGTTGACCGTTCTTGGCGATTCCATAATAAGTAGGCTGATCGCTCACAGACACAATTTTGTTCACTTCCTCATGAGATATCAGACACAGTTTTGTGAATCAGAGACACAAAGATTGGATCAGAAGTTGAGTCAAATATTTAAATTTGTCTACCTACTTTTTTATCTGTCTGCCTACAGCCTACTTACTAGTATAGTTTCTTTAATAACCAGTGAGTCACAGTGCCGTGCCTAGCTTTATAGAGGCCTAAGACAAATCATAAAATGTGTTTTTTATATGTTTAAATATGTATTTCTATTTATAGTTTATTTTATGTTAATACTATTATAGTTTCTTAAAACAAAATAAAATTTTAAACATCAAAATACCTTTATTGTTGTTGTAGGTCTCAAACATTTATATATAACTATATAATGTTCTTCTACTATATATAACAAACAAAATCATGTATTTTACATATTTGGTTAAAGTTATAAGAAAATATGGCCTTTAAAACTAGAACAAATTTTGGTGGCTTAAGGCAAATACCTTTTTTGATACATGCAAGGCTCTGGTGAGTCATTAGTCATATTATTATATAACCTATAAGGAAATAATGAGTATATTAAGGTTTAAAATATGAATGGTGGTGATAGTTGACAAAAAATAAAAAGGTATGATTGATGATAAAAAAAAAAATGATTCTGAATGCGTAAATACGCATGCATCCCGCCAACAAAATAAAGAAAGTTAAAGCATAATTTATTTTCAATATTCTGTTTTACTTAGAAAGTAGTAGAAACTAAAATTTGTTTTTTTTAACCAAAAAAAAAAAACTAAAATTTGTTTTTTTTCCTAATTAAAATACGGGAAAAAATCCTTGTCCAACTAAAAAACATCTGATTTTCCCCAACTAAGTAATCTAATCTACTCTCTCTACTAGTACACCATGTTTTCTCCTGATTTGCAATCAGACCATAAAGGTTGATTGTAATACTAAAGACACGCAAACACCAAAAAAGCATTTTCAATCTATACCACCTTTAAGATGGCGTGGCCGAGGCGAGAAAGATTGGTATCGTTCATCAACAATAGATGGCTAGTGTTTGTGGCGGCCATGTGGATTCAGTCTTGCGCTGGGATCGGTTACTTGTTCGGCAGCATATCTCCGGTGATCAAGAGCTCCTTGAACTACAACCAGAAACAGCTCTCAAGGCTCGGTGTAGCTAAAGATCTCGGCGACAGTGTCGGCTTCCTCGCTGGGACTCTCTCCGAGATCTTGCCTCTCTGGGCCGCTCTTCTCGTTGGTTCTGTACAAAACCTTGTTGGGTATGGCTGGGTTTGGCTTATCGTCACCAGACGAGCTCCGATTCTTCCTTTATGGGCTGTGAGTTCTTGATTCCATCTGATTCTTTGTTGGGTTATATCAAGATCGTAAAAAAGTTGGTGACTTTCTATTAAAGTTGAAGACTTTCTATTAAAGTTTGCCTTTTGATGATATGTCTGTTTCAAAATCTCCCAAAATCTGCTTTTTTTTTTTTTTTTTAAATCCATGAGAGATTGAGTATCTGTCTTTTACACCTATTGTTCTCAATCGTGGAAACTGAGCTCCATTATTGTCTTCAAAGATTAGAAATGAATAGATTTGATCGATTCATATGAGTTGACTACGAGTAAACAATGTGAGGAGGACATAGTATAGTAGTAAGATTGTGAAAATGCAAGTTTACTTTTGTTGAAACTGGTCAAGTTTACTTTTGTTGAAACTGTTGAAGACTATTTGTTGAAACTGCTCAAGATTGTGCAGGCTATTGACTGAATCTTTGTCATCTTTTCAGATGTGTATCCTCATATTCGTTGGGAACAACGGTGAGACCTACTTTAACACGGCGGCATTAGTCTCCGGTGTACATAATTTCCCCAAGAGCCGTGGTCCTGTGGTTGGTATCCTCAAGGGCTTTGCTGGGCTAGGCGGTGCCATCCTTTCTCAGATATACACAATGATCCACTCCTCTGACCGTGCATCACTCATCTTCATGGTTGCAGTTGCACCAGCAGTGGTTGTTGTCCCGCTCATGTTCTTCATCAGACCCGTTGGTGGTCACAGGCAGATCCGTTCTTCGGATGGCACCAGCTTCACCATCATCTATGCCGTTTGCATTCTACTTGCTGCCTATCTCATGACAGTGATGCTTGTTGAAGACTTCATTGATCTTAGCCATTCAGTCATCACTGCTTTCACCATAGTTTTGTTTGGCATTCTCCTTGTACCCATCTTGATCCCCATCGCAACGAGCTGCTTCACAGCATCAGCTGACCCTCGTGACACACTAGAAGAACCTCTCGTCGGAGATCAGCAAGGTCAAGAACCGGGGCAGTCAGCATCTGACCGTGATCCTGAGCTTATACTGAGTGAAGTGGAAGACGAGAAACCGAAAGAAGTAGACCTGCTTCCTGCGTTGGAGAGACATAAGAGAATCGCTCAGTTGCAAGCAAAGCTGATGCAGGCAGCTGCAGAAGGTGCAGTTCGTGTCAAGAGACGGAGAGGACCTCACAGAGGCGAGGATTTTACTCTAACTCAAGTACTCGTGAAAGCTGATTTCTGGCTCATTTTCATCTCACTCTTGCTCGGGTCTGGTTCGGGCCTTACGGTAATTGACAATCTTGGTCAGATGAGTCAGTCTCTTGGGTATGATAACACTCACGTTTTTGTGTCGATGATTAGCATTTGGAACTTCCTTGGACGCATCGGTGGCGGCTATTTCTCTGAACTCATCGTCAGGTATGACATTACTGCCCCATATACACTGTATGTAATAGGATATTGACAAACCTGTGGCTGTAGAATGATTTGCAGGGACTATGCGTACCCAAGACCGATTGCAATAGCAGTGGCACAGCTTGTAATGTCAATAGGACACATCTTCTTTGCATATGGATGGCCTGGAGCTATGCACATTGGTACACTATTGATTGGTCTTGGCTATGGTGCTCACTAGGCCATCGTACCAGCCACTGCCTCTGAGCTCTTTGGTCTCAAAAAGTTTGGAGCTTTATACAATTTCCTGACGCTGGCCAACCCGGCTGGGTCTTTAGTCTTCTCAGGTCTGATTGCTAGCTCCATATACGACCGTGAAGCAGAGCGGCAAGCACATGTATCCATGTTCGGTTCTGACGACGTCCTGAGATGCCGAGGCTCCATCTGTTACTTCTTGACGTCACTCATAATGTCTGGACTCTGCCTCATTGCAGCCGCCTTGAGTATGATTCTCGTGCAACGTACCAAACCGGTCTACACAAATCTCTACGGCAAAACCCACAGCTGATGTTTGTGTTTCTCATACGTATAATTGTGTTCATCCTCTTATTCTTTGGCTTGGTCTTGGACCTCCCCACACATGTGTATCTGTTTCTGTATCGATTTTGGATTTCACATTTGTAATCTGTATTCACATTATTCATATTCTTCAATGACAAGGAGTCCTGTGTCTAAAATCTAAATGTCAAGATCTATGTTTTCCTAAGTTCACGAAGCGATAAGATCTTGGCGCTCGTCATCCTCAACCACCATCCATGGCAAAATAGGTCCCAGCTGTACAAATAATTCAGAAGTAAAGCTCCTTCCTTGGATGGATTAAGCAGGAACTAAATGTTAGATATCTCTATTACCTTCCCTTCCCGTATGACCTTGGGATATGGTCCTGTCATATCAACGATTGTGGATGGTTGAGCCACTCTTACACCTCCATCTACCACAAAATCCAGACCCTGTATAAAAGAACGAAACATAGAGAAGTTGAGCAACCAAAAGAGCTGGCTTTAAGTCAAGTGAGACTGAGTGTTTAGCTATCTATAATACCTCTGGTCCATACATGTCACCAATTGCGGTTGGGTCAATCATCCATTCATTTTCTTTTGGCCCTTTCACTACCACATTATATACATTATTTACCACATTACACACACATAAATATCCTTACAAGTCATGGTTGGGATTAAGTAAGAAATTAACCTGGTGCAAATCAGCGGTGCATCCATTGCCTGGAGAATAGCTTGGCAGACAGCGTCATCGAAAATCCGGACACCCACGTTTTTCCTGGACGCATATTTCACACTTGTCGTGCCGTACCCGGCACACTGTTTGGGTAATTCTTTGCTTGCAGTCAAGATGAAGGTGTACTGTGCAAACATAGGCCATAGATCATCCTTGTTAATGAACATGAAAACTGTTTTGAGTATTGCAGTTATATGTACATGAGAGTTAAAAAAAAGAAGAAGTGTCTCACAGGTCCAGGCAAGCAGTGCTTGACAGCTCGAAAAACGTTTGCATGACCATGACCATCGCCACGAGGAAACCCCATTGTATAAGTGTCAATGTCCCGAAAGGAACGGCATAAAATGCTAAGTGGCTGCAAGGAAGTTCAAAGAAGAATAAGAAGAATCCCAACTCTGTGGAAGTAACAGATACCATGTTCCTTCCTTACCTTGGAGGATTCAATCTTTTTAATCCTATAAAGGTTCAAAAGGATTTGTGTCAAGCTTAAAAAGGATTGAAAGTAAATGCCATTAAAACACTCTTTTAACACTGAAAGGAGTTAGCTAACCTTCGTAGACGCTCTACAGCCGACTGGTTTTTACAATCACAGACTATTGCATATCTATAGAGCAATGAAATGAAGATTGGTGTATACATAGAGAAAGAAAAACGTGTAGGAAGCAGAGGAAAGGAGAAAGCTTTACACTGTATCAGTGGGAATAACACCAACAGCTCCTTGTTTAAGAAGCTCAATAACAGGTTCAAGTTTCCAAGCATCAGCACCCGAAGGATCGACCTCTATTGACAGAAACTCACCTTCCTATGTTCCAAGAACACCACAATTAAACACCTTTCAAGAATCAGAGTAAAAATGGTGGAAAATGTGGTAACAACCTTGGTGAAGCGAGGAGTAGAGTATTTGAGACGCTTAGGGCTTCTCTTGGCCGCTGCCATCGCAACGAAGCGCCTCCGTGGATCGAAAGAGCCAATGCTCGGAACTGTTGAAAGACGCCGTTGCGTCATCGGGAATGGTAGACGGACCGCCATGTCGCCGCCGGGAAGTTTCGCCGCCGCCGCCGCCATTTAAGTTTTGTTGATTTCTCTGTGAAAAAAAGAAAGGAGAACACTTCAAAAGAGCTAATCAGGAATCTGTTTTTCTTTATTTTGTTGTCTGATCCAATCAACTTCAAAATCAGACCTCAATTCTACTTCCCCATTCACTAACTGCAAGCAAGAATTTTGATTTCAAGAAAACTCAAAGAAACTTCGATTTATACAAACAACAATAGCGACTATTTGAAGGGTTTTAGACCAGATACACACATACTAACCAAGGTTAGATTTTTACTCGGGACGATAAAAAAAAAAAAACCTTTTCGATCAACTCTTTTCTTTCGCGAATCCAACTTCTGTTGATTCCCTCTTCAAATATCAGACATCGCCTAATTTTGTTTTTCTGTAATATCGGAACTTCTATCAGCAGTGGTCGAGCTCCATCCTAAATCCTAATGATGGTAAACCGGCTAATCATCCTAATACCTTGAAAGTTTTGGTTTGATATAGAAAAAAAATGGGATTAGATTAGAGCAAATCTTTAATAAAGTGTATTGTTGGTTATACCGGATTAGTTTATAGATTTGGCTCATTGGTTAAAATATCTTTTAGCTTAATCATTTGTATATATAAAATTGTACGTTCATTTAATTTCTACATACAACAATACCTTAATATGGTATCAAAGCATCTCTATTCTCTAACAACCAAGTAGAGATTGTTTCCATGTCAAAGTTGTTTTGTGTGTGAACTGCTGTATGGACCTTAATTTGATTTCTACTTGTCCTTGATATTTTCTGATCAGTGATGGGATTTGGACGAAGCTTTTACCTTCTAGAAGATATTAAACTTCTAAAGATGTCTTCATTATAAAAATTCAATTTCCCACGCTAATCTTTTGGTTGGGACAAAATGCAAAACTTTTCTGATATACATTTGAAAAGAGAAAGCAGCTTTATTATTTGAAACAAGCTCAAAGAGATTATTAAAACACCTCCATCCAGTATTATCATAGGTTCATCAGGTCCAACTGCATTTTTGAGTTTTTTTTTAAAATTAAAAAGCCCATATATCCAATGAGACTGTTTCTTCTGGATGAACCCAACAAACCTATCTCTTTAAGAGTTCTTCGGCTAGCTGTCACAATGTCATTGGCCATTTGTTTTTTTTAACTTCTGGCCATCTGTATTTTGTATGTTTTTATCCAAATTTTTATATTTTGTATTTTTAAAATCATGTAATGCTATATAAATTTGATTTTATGTAATATAATTTGTTTGAAATAACTTCCCAAATAAATTAAAATTATAAATGATAATTTTAAAAAAAATATATTTTATTCCTAAGAACTCCTAATGAGGTTCAGGGTTGGAGGTGTAAAAAAATATGAGGTTCATCACTGTTCAAAAATCAAAAAAAAATATATATATATTTCTAAGAACCTCAAAGAATGGTTCATGGTTGGGGATGTTCTTATCTATGTTAAGAGAAAAGAGAACAAAGAATGTGTTCTGAAAAATAAGATAGAAGAGGAAGAGCGCGAACTGAGACAGTTTACTTTGCAAAATCAAAAATGTGGAGCAGAACATACAAATAGTGGTTTATGCACTTGATAGTTGAAATAAATCAAGTGTCGATTGACCAAGATACTAAGATCATCTTCCATTAAATTCTTCCTTGACAATCATTTCTACATTTGATTTCATTTCAACTATATACTTTTGCCCTTTGTTTCTCTTTTCTGCTCTACAATCTTTTGATTTCTAACTCCAAAAAACAAACTCAATAGTCCTTTCGTTCAATTCTTCTTCAATCTTGTTCTCAAACTAAACATGTTCTTTATTTTCTTTCCTCCCCTTTTTTTGCTCCCACATCTTGGAGAGATAATAATACTTTGCTTCTGATATGTGACTAATGGTGCTGCAATGTCTAGCTTGGCAAAAAAAAAACACAAGAAAAATATACTTTGAAAACGGCAAAATCATTAGTTAGTATATCTTTTGCTTCTTTTCCTCAACATGAGCATAGCAGCAGCTGAACTAAATTAGCATATACTACCACAAAACATTAAAATGATGCATGTATATAAGCTATTGTACTTTGAAAAATAACATTAAAAAGATTTTGAACATCAACTATTGGTGAAACAGATTTGTTTGCAGAAATAAAACACAAGGAAGTAAAAACAAAAGCCAGACTTACCTATATAATTACATTGATGTAACTTGTGGGGGTTATGGACCAAAAGAATTTTTTATCATACATGAGAATGTTTAGAATTAAAAAAAATATACAAACGTGAATATCCAAGAAAAATTCTATACATGACATGGTTAGAACTTAGAAGTGAAAATATATAAAAAAATGAAATACATATAGATTACATCAAAATTTGGTTTTGTGCACAATGTTTGAGCAAGAAATATAGGAGCAGTCATGACATGACAAGAACACATTCATATCTCATGGAATTAAGTTTATCATTCTAGAGTCCAAAAGTTGATGCCATTTAACACTTGATTATTTGCCATTTGTTAAGCATTAGCCGTTCTTACCTTCATGTTTTTCCCATTGTGGCATAAATGCCATAAAATTGACTAGTCTCAAAAGGCATAACAAACCACCATTAGTTTATATTTTATTTGCTTCCTTTTTTTTGTTCCCTTCATTTTCTACCATATTTTTTAAAGCGTACCACTAATTATAAACTTTTATTGCCGACCCACCTTCCTTTCCTTCTGTAAGAATTAATATGCAATTATGTTAGTTTTTCCCTGGCTTTCTTTGCATGGTTCTATTTTTTAATTTCAACCATTCAAGCTTTGGGTCCATTAATTGTGCCTATAAAATGTCTCGTCCCTTACATTATCGACAGTCATGGTAAAAGACTAGCAATTTTTCTAAAAAATAAGAAAATTGTAGAAAAGTAACTACTAAAAACAAACAAACAGAAGAAGATAAGAAAAGTAATATAACTTCATGAATGTAAAAGTAATGTATCAATGGAAATTTGTAGATGTAATATATCAATCTGCTATTACTATTTCATTGATATATTACTATTTCATTGATTAACCTCAATGTCTGGCTCTAAGTCTCTAACTAAACTTTTAACTTCAAATGAAAACCATTGAATCTTATTTGAGTTTGGAAGTACATATTCCAAGATTCATTTTTTTTTTCTTTTTCTTTTCCGACATATTCTTATATTAGTTAACATATCCCTAGATTAGTTAACTCTCAAATATTAGCATATATACAATTACTCAAAGAGGGGCGTATTGAACTGCTATATTTGAAGTGATTTGAATTAAAATGACAAGTCATATGTTATTCAAACATGAATTTCCATAAGTATTCTAAAATCAGTGTTATTGGATATAGAACTTGTAAAAATTTCTTAAAATTTACTGTAATTAGAAATGTTTTGAATACTGAGGTTTTAGTGCTTTCAAGAGATTTGGAGGAGTTTCTTAGTTAAAAACACAAAGGCTCAATAAGTATAATTTTGAAATTTTAATCATTTTCTTGTATAAAAAGACATAAACAGAGCAAAAAGTTGGCTAATTTGAAACGAATTCGGAGTATATTATGAAACCGATCAACAACACATTTGAATTAGTTTAGTAATTGGTTCGGTTTGGAATCTCCAACCGGTTGGTTTGTGGCAATAAGATAACTTTTATGATTCAGATTTTGTACAAGCAAGAATGATGATAAATACTTGAGATATTCTACAATCATTCATGCCAAGATTTTCGAAATCCAATCTATAACCAAAACCAAAATAATGTATTACGAGGAGTGTTTCTATTTGATGTCTAAACCGGGAAAATTATAAACATCAAAACCAATAAATACTTAAGTAACAAAATAGATTTGAGAACAACCCAGTTGCAAAGATAAGTAAGTTGTTCGTTTATGTTTTCGTTAATTTCGGTTTCAAATAATATTTTGTGTTTTAGAAAATTAATAACAAAGTTAAAATTAGTGAACTTTCCCGCGTCTTGTGCGGACTCTTATAGTTTTTCATTTGATTGTTTTAAAATTTAATAATAGTTTGGATATATTTATTTTTTATTCTCTATTGTTAAATATATTTGTTTGTTAGATTTCCATGCATTTGCATTTTAATGTTTGAAGATATGATCGTGAAAACAGTGTAGAAGAGAGTAGATAAAAACATATTGGTATTCAAATAATTTAGTTTAAATAGTATTTTAGACGTAATTTTTTTTAACATATATTTATCAATTTTGAAAAGAAAAAAAAAACATATTGGTATCCAAATTTTGATCACTTATAGTTTAGACGTAGTTTTTGAAGTATCCTACGAATTTATTCGATTTTGATCACTATTCTGTGTATTTTAGATGTAGTTTTTGAACTATCGTACAAACTTATTCGAAGAAGAAGAAAAATATTAAATAATTTAGTAGGGTGTGAGAGAATTAGAGAGAAGTCATACATATTTTTACTAAAATATTTGAAGTCGAAAATCCTAATCAAGACATCACAAATACCGTTATTTCATTAGACATTCTATTTATTGATTTTTACTTTTTTGTTAGATTTGACTAAATATCAATTTTATTAAATTTGAAAAATGGTTTGATTGACAATAAAATGAAGTACTAAAACATAATAGTTTAGAACAGTATATTTTAAATTATTAAGAACCAGTAAAAAATGACATGTAATTAAAAAATATGATTAAAATGTCTTTTACAGCCAAAACTCATTGTAGAACTGACACATAAGTAAAACGCTCTGAAACTCGCTGTGAAGCTGACACATCAGCAAATCACTACACATATAAGTATATAAATTTTTTACACTGGAATTGTATTTTTCCTTTTTAGTAACGTTGTCGGGATCAATTCAAGATCCAACATCTAAAGTTTAGACAAAAAGTGTTTATTATATATAGATTATGTCCAATAGTAATGTAGCAACGGATAGCATAAACACTAAGTAACGATAATCTTCTTGAGATTAAAAAACTTAGAGACTAATCAAACTTGAGTTCTTCTCTAGAAGTCAAGACGAAATCGATTTCAAAGAGATACTCTCTCAAAGTTTTATTCAATCAAAGCCAACTATCATAGAAAAATTACAAAACCTTATATAGGTATGGTCTCAGCCGACCTAAACACACGCAAAACCCAAATAAAAAAAAAAGAAGACAAACATAAAAGCCCTAAAATCCCATGATAAAAGAAAAGTAAATATTTTATCTAGGCGTCTTAGTGTGTTACACAAAATGCACCGTGTGTGACACATCGTGAGATGCTGCTGCATCAGGTCTCCCCGGTTAACGAAAAATTCGTCCTCGAATTTTCAGCATGATCCGGTGGATAGCGTTAAATCTTTTCTTTTCTTTTCTCTTCTTCCACTGGTAATATCCTCAAATTCGCCTTCGTGACGTGACAAGGCTTGTGTTCACCGAAGTACTTTTTGTAACCATGAATATTATCTTCCTCAAAGCACATCTAGTGATATGTTTTTCTAGACCAAGAAAAGCATCTTATATGCTTTGTAAACCACCGTGAAATCCTGGGATATCAAGCTTGGATCCAGATTTCCAACAATTGTGTTCAACTCGTGACACAAGCAAATCAGCCTGCGGTCGAGGCTGCCACAAATGCTCTCGAAAACTAGCAAACTGGTTAACATCGAGGACTTCTTCTTCATCATCCTCCGTGAAGGGTCGATTAACTCGACGAGGTTTCATGGGAGCTTGTTGATGCTCTTGACATACGAAAAACAGTTTCAAAGGACTCTTGCAACATATCTTGCAATTCGTTTAAAAACTCTGCAAGAATTTCACGAAAGGCTTCAGTCGTATCTCGATAAATCTTCTTAGGCATGATGAGGATCGTTTCTCTGATACCAACTAATGTAGCAACGGATAGCATAAACACCAAGTAACGATAATCTTCCTGAGATTAAAGAACTTAGAGACGAATCAGACTTGAGTTATTCTCAAGAAGTCAGGACAAAATTGATTTCAAAGAAATACTCTCTCAAAGTTTTATTCAATCAAAGCCAAAGATTATAGAAAAATTACAAAATTTTATATAGGTATGGTCTCAGCCGACCTAAACACACGCAAAACCCTAATAAAAATAGAAGACAAACATAAAACTCTAAAATACCATGATAAAAGAAAAGTAAATATTCTATCTAAGTTGGTGTCTTAGTGTGTTATACAGAATGCATCGTGTGTGACACATCTTGAGATGCTGCTGCATCAAATAGTGATTAATAGGAGATCTTTTGGAAAGGAATTTAAAACAAATTCGTGCAGGTTTTGCCACTTAGTCTCAAAATGGACAATATCATATTAATGGAGAGTTAGACAAAACAATTGATATTGGAGTCAAGTTTTAAAAAGGCTGAATGTTTGTTGTGGGAGGGAGAACCTTTAAGGTGATCATGCGATTAGGGGTACCTGTTTCTTATGTCGAAAGTCTTCTTAACAATTGTCTAGATCCACCTTTTCTAGAACGTAGTTTTGATACCAATTGTTGGGTTTTTCAAACCAATGTCCAACTCTCCATTAAGATGATATTGTCTGCTTTGGGTCTAATTAACAAATTCCACACAGATTTGTTTTGAACTCCTTTCTAAAAAAGTTTATACTAATCACTATTGGACATGACTTACATATTAATCATTCTTTTTCTAACTTGAGATGTGGGGGATCTTGGATTGATCTCCAACAGTATAAATGACAATGCTGTGAACTAGGAATCTCCTCGCATGGACCTCTCTGCGCTGACATCTTTAGGAAGCTCTTCGCATGGACTTACGTACATGTTGACACTTTCTGAAGAACAAACTGATTAACTGATTCATACCTCAACTGCGTAAGCATGATTAATGAACTGATCGGTTTTAAGTAAGTATGATTCAGATCAGTGAATAAATCTTATAAGAGTTAGCCTTTTCATGCATATAGTCAGAATTTGATCTTCCAAGTTCCAAGTCTATTTTAGGTGTTGGCTTGCTCATGTATTTTGACCTGATTAAACTATCTGAGTGAATTTCTTTGTTCTTATTAGAGATGGGAAGGCGCGGTTAGTGATTCTCTTTTTCTTCCGGTATGTCTTCTAATCTTTTTCTTCTGCTTAGTCTTCTGATATTTACTTTTAGTATTTGATGTTGTGTCTATTTTCTTCTGCATCAAACCGATTTCAAAGCATATTGTGGCGTATCTTGAAACCGTTGATTTCTCTATGTGTTCGTCCTATCACATAAAGAATGCAAACCCATTAGTTAAACTTTTTCATTGAACAATTTAGCAAAAAAAAAAAAGAAAAAAGAATGCAAACCCATACATGCATATATACACACATACATTCATGCGTACACATATATATTCATGCATACACACATGCATTCATGCATCATGCATGCACACATGCATTATGCATACATGTCATTTGTCATGTTTTTTTTTGTTAATGTTGAATTTATAGACTTCACAAAAAGATATAACGAAAAATACAAATGCAAATGCAATGTAGCTGAATTCAAATAGAACATGCTACTTGAGTAATTTTTTTTTGTTCCAAAATCTTGAATTGTCATTTAATGGTAACTCTTTTATGTTAAATTTGAGAAAATTGACATCTGAATATCATGGAATCAACACAGCAAGAATCACTCGAATCTTGACATTTTTTTTAAAGAGAATATCAGTTTATAACTCATTTCTTTGTTATTATAGTCTTGTTTCTTCAGATAATATTGTTTGAGTGTTTGTTTACATGTTAATATGTTCAAATTCTAAAAGTAGTTAAAAGGCCTTTTTTATTATCAAATGCATGTACATAAAGGCAAATGGATTGGCGTTTCAGTTTTTGCGTTTACAATTTTTTTTATAATAAAAATATGAAAGTGTTGTTACACTTAAAAGTAAACACACTAGTTTAGCATGAATACATAATCCCGACACAAACACACAAAAAAAAAACAAATAATCAAAGTTCTAAAAAAACCCACAATTTTTACTTATTTCTATTGGCAATAAAATTAGTAAGAGCTACTAAAGGAGCAACCTTTTCCGAACTAAACCCTTGAAGATGTTGCCGTGCATCTCTCGTCAATCTCTTAACAAATTCTTTAGATTTCTCCAAACCCAACATCTTCGGATACGTTAGCTTTCCGGCGATCTGATCTTTTCCGGCAGTCTTTCCCAATTCCTCCGACGACTTGGTCTCGTCCAAAATATCATCAACCACCTGAAACAACAATCCAATACACCTTGCAAACTTTCTTACGTTTTCAATCTCTTCATTAGACCCACCACCAATAATGGCTCCAAGAACCGCAGCAGTTTCCAACAAAACCGCGGTTTTATGAACATGTATAAACTCCAAATGCTCTAAACCGACTTCATTCAAGTCCAAACCTTCACTGCTTATATCCATCGCTTGTCCCGCCACTAAACCTCTCGTTCCAATAGACCTAGCCAGCTCCCTAACCGCCCAAACCATTCTCTCCGGCGAAATATCAGCCGTTGTCATGTGCTCAAAGGCAAGAGACAAGAGTGCACCACCGGAGAGAATGGCGACTCCTTCACCGTAGACTTTGTGCGTTGTGGGCCTCCCACGACGCAGATCGTCATTGTCCATGCAAGGCAAGTCGTCTTTGATTAGAGACATCGTGTGGATCATCTCAACCGCACAAGCCGCTGGCATAGCTGCGTTTTCTTGGCCGCCTACTAGCTCGCAAGAAGCTAGGCAGAGTATAGGCCTAACGCGTTTTCCTGCCGCGAGAATCGCGTAACGCATGGCTTCGTGGATTTTGAGTGGCTCCCCTAGTGGAATGGCTTCGTCTAGAGCTTTGTTTACTGATTCGGTTTTGCTCGTCATGTATGGATCAAAATCGAACGTAGAAATGGAGATTGTACCGATACCTTCTTGATATACTTCTTCTTCTTCTTTTTCTTCTTCTTCTACAATGGGAGATTCAAGAAACTCGGCTACTTCTTTTCTTGATAAAATGGCAGCCTTGACTCGAGTTTCGAAAGAAGGCTGGAGGAGACGGGATAGCCTTGGCTTGACATTTTGAAAGAAAAAGTTTAGAGAGAGGATGAAGAGTGAGAGATAGAGAAAGAGAATTTGAACTTCCATTTTATCAAAATCAAACATCTTTCTCGGGTTATTTGTCGTTTGTCTTAATTTATAGGGAGATTATCTAAAGTATAAATAACCAAGTCTCTCCGTGGAATCATGGTTTATCTTGGTTCGGTTTACTTTAATGTTCGTAACTTCGGTTTGAAACTAGAACATTTTTGGTTTTGGTATCAAGTTGATTAGAATATTTTCTTTCTTTTTTTTTTGTAAACAAAACAAAATATATTGTATATATTTAACTTTTATAATCTATTAGAGGAGTTAACAAAATAATTTCGTCTCAAAATCACGGTTCGGGTCTGGAAATCGTTAGCTTAATCAATTGGCAATTTACCAAGAGCAAAGCCTAGAAATCATAAGATCAAATGGCATTTGGAACAAGACTAAATAACATGTTCTGGTCCTAGACTTAGGTTCTATGAGCTTGTTTAACAACTTTATCGTTTTTTTGGGTTTCTTATCAAGTCAATATTAATATTAATAACGATTATATCTTAATGAACTGTAATTTGTATTTGTCTAGGATTAGGTTGTGAGCATAGTAATAGTAGAGTGAGATGGTGAGTAACTGTGTAGTCTATAATTAAAATCCGGTTTGAACCGGTAGTAGAAAATTGAGAATAAAATCCACTAACTGAACCGGTTGATGCTTATGATATCTTCCCGTAACGCCTTGGTATTGCAGAATAGAGAAGGAAGACGTCTTATCTCATGTGCTCAATTACGTAAAAGAAAGCAAGAACCAAAAAACATAGACCTCGTGAGAGACAACTTCGTTGCTCTTCATCTTCTCTTCACGTTTCCTTTTTTTTTTTTGAAGGATTAATCTTCATTTAGACGCAATAGTTACTTGGAACTACACCATTTCTGAATTCTGAAGAACTTTATAATCTAAATCGATACAAGAATAATATTCTCCAAAACGTATAGAACACCGAGTATTTTTTGCCATTTAAGACGTGTAACGATGGATAAATGGAAAACCAACAATATAAATTCATAGTTGATGGGATTCGAACCATACCCTATAACTCATCTAGTGGACATTACTACAAAGCATAAACTATTTCACATCCTTATTCTTTATGAATATTGATTTTAGGATCCAGCCAAGCAATCCTCCAGTTCAGACAGAACAAAGAGATATTCATTTGTAAACATATAAAACATGGATTTTCGTAAATTGAAAGGTTTTGTTGTCACTATGCTGATCCTGTTAAACCCAAGTATTGGGAATACAAAGCATATTTGATTATTTGGGAATGACTGCATGAGGACATTAGAATAATCAAGCAGCCTTAAATAGATTTCAGATCTATCAAACTTTTTTTTTGCCAAACTGTAAATATCATATAAATGATGTTCGGTTTTACAAAAAAGCAAAAGCCAAAGCTTGACTATCGCGGCAAAAAAGAATTAAAAAACACGATAGCAAAAGATTTTGTAAGATCTAAAACCCACAATCATAGATCTATCAAACTATGTGAACAACACTTAACTGAACTCGTCATGTGTATAAATATTTCCATTTTTTTTTTTTGGTCGAACAAATATCTTATATGCTTCTTCTTTTTATACCTGGAACTTCTTCATTTAATATAAGAAAACATAAAAGCACAGATAAAACGTCTAAAAGTTTATTTTTTCTTTACGAAGAAAAGCAAATCACATTCTTACTTTCCACTCATTCCAAGAGTGGACAACACCCTTGAGCCAGACTTTAAAAGACAGATTCGACCATTTCTTTGTTCAGTTTAACTTAGATTCCTGATGTGTTCCTTGAGACCAATCAGCATTTGCTTTCTTCCTCTCCACGGAAACTAATCAAGCTTTCTCTCCAACCAATCTAGCTTGAAACCCACATTTGTTAGCTTAATAAAGTTATAAACTCTCTGTGAGCATATATAGTCTCGTTGAAGCTATGTGGAGGGTTGTTCAATTTCTAGATGAGACCAAGTAGGAGATTCATGTATGTTGTCTTTGCTAATTGGTTCTTTGATATGACATGTACTACAATGTTGGGGTATTTCACGAAAAGCTGACTCACTGGAACAACCTGAGAATAAAGATCTTGGAAACCTCTAACATCTCTTTCATCAACAACTTGATTTGGGATAGCAATCCTTAGACAATATAGTTTAATATAAGTTAAATCCAACTCCAATTAGTATGAGATATTTTGGAAACAAGTTTAAAACACAAATCCGTACAGGTTTGACACCATACTACTGTAATACTAATAGGGAGTTGGACATGTTTTTGATCATCTACATTCTATTCTTGGAGTTTCTTACTTCGAGCAACTGATAATTAATCCATAAACAAGTAAGGAATCTTGAAAATTTTAATTTCTTACTAAATTAGGGCCCAAATACATATAAAGAACAAGACCCAATAACAAATATGAACGTCTTCATAACCAATTTTCTTTAACATTTGTTCGAAACCTTAAAAGAAGTTTGTATTTTTTGCCATCTCTTGTGCAAATATGTAATCTTCTACGCTGGTTTCACTTTCAAATTATTGTCGTTGCATGTGTCTCAAGAGACAAAGTTAGTGCTCTTCCATGTTACAGCCTAGCTCTGTGTATAGTCATTATCACAATCGTGGCTTCTCTGTTCCTCAAACGAGAAGATAACAAAAGAACATGATATGTATAGAGAAAACAATAAACTAATGAACAAAAACATATAAATAAATCAATATCAAAGGTTTAGCCACAAGAAGGCAGAACACACTAATAGTATCATAAGCGAGCTGTACAAGCAATAGGTCTCAAAAACATCAAACATAAAAGC